AAGTTTTCTGCTATGATTTGCTCACATAAACCTTCTACTCCTATTTGTCTCTCTTCCTCTTCTGAGACCCCTATGATTCTGATGTTGTTCCTTTTTAGTGAGTCACTGATTTCTCTAATTCTTAAATTGTGCTCTTTTGCCTTAATCTCCCTCTTTTTTTCTGTTTCATTATTCTCTATAATTTTGTCCTGTATATCACTGATTCTCTGTTCTGCCTTATCCATCCTTGCCGCTGCTGCATTCATCCATGATTGCAGCTCAGTTATAGCATTTTTAATTTCATTCTGGTTATGTTTTACTTCTTTTTCCTGCAGAAAGGGATTCTAATCTATTTTTGACTCCAGCTAGTATTCTTATTATTGTGATTCTAAATTCTGGTTCAGACATCTTGCTTTTATCTGTGTTGGTTAAATGCCTGGCTGTCGTTTCTTTGTGCTCTTTCTTTTGGGGTGAATTCCTTCGTTTTGTCATTTTGAAGGGAGAAAAGGAATTAATGAGGTAGAAAAATTGAAATAAAGGAAATTAAAATTAAAAATTAAAAATACACACAGACACAAAAATCAAATAGATGATGCTAGGTCCTAGGTGTGTTTTGGTCTGGGTGTTGAAAGTGGTTTGACAGATTAGAGAAAAAAAGGTGGGGGTGGGGGGAGAAAAAAAAAGAAATCGTTTGAGAATTTGAAAAAATGAATACACTGAAGTAGACTAAAATGAGATGATGATGGTAAAATAGAATTTGAAAAAATATACACAAAAGTAAAGAATATAGTAGAAAAAAATTAAAGAACAATATTTTTAGTATTTTTCTTTAAATTTTTTCTTCAATTTTAATTTTTTTCTTTAATTTTCTTTAATTAATTTCTTTAATTTTCTTTATGATTTTAATTGCTACCTATATGCTGATGACTCTCCTCAAACCTCTCCTGAGTTTTACACTCATAATCATAAAAACTCAATGAGTTTCCCCAAGGTTCTTCACATGCTGTATATCCTTACCAGAATTTATCATGTTTTCTTCCTCACTTTTTTTCTTACATTCCCTTTCTGCATGGAAATGCCATCTTACAAGTTTCCCTGACTAGAATACTGAGTAGTATTCTAGATAGCTTCTCACTCAGGCTTCAAGTTCTACCGACTTCCTTGTACACATTTCCCAGATTTAGCTTCTCCTTTTCTTGTATTAGCAGTCTACTTTTTGCTTCTTTACACTACTAGCAGAATAAACTGTCTGAATTGTATCTATGTCCTGTTTCTTATCTGCCAGGAGTTTGTATCTGAATTGAATGTGACCATATCCCTTCCTTATTATGACAGAGCAAAATTTTTATGCCTTGGTCAAATGACCACCTATGTAGGTCTATCATTTACTGCCCCTGCCTTGTTTATTTTGTTCTAGTAACATAGAATTCTCCATACATTCCATACATCATTGTACTTTGAAACAAACTATTATCTCTGCCTGACATGCCTTTGTTCCTTTGGCTTTGGTTAGCCTTTAAAATTTTATGTAATCATTCTCTCTGTCCAGTCTTCTTTTCCTCCAGCTTGGGCTAAAGCTACCATTTCTCTGCCTCCATTATGATCCTTGAACTGACTGTGTAATATTAAAGGGTATTTTTCTTGTCCTTGTAGACAGATATTGTTCTATTCAGTGAAAAAAGTCTGCAATGCCTAAAATAAAGTAATGACTCTAATTTTTTTTGATAATGGGGGCCTAAAAATGTTAGGTTGTTAGGGTGCCTGGGTGGCTCAGTTGGTTAAGCATCCAAATCTTGATTTCTGCCCAGGTCATAATCTCACAGTTCATGAGATTTAGCCCCACATCGAGCTCTGTGCCGACAGGGTGGAGCCTGCTTGGGATTCTGTCTCTTTGTCTCTCTCTGTCCCTCCCCTGCTCTCTGTCTCTGAAAAATAAACATTTTTTTAAAAAAAGGAAAGAAAATAAAATGTTAGTTTGTTAAAATAATTATTTATAGAAGATTACTTTCTTTATAAATGATGACAAAATTTAAGCTAAACTTGGGATCTGTCCTTCACATGGATAGATAAGTGCTGAAGAAGTACAGATAATATAATTTTTATCCCAAAGGAAATGAATGCATTGTTGCTGAAAACATATTATTTGCAGAATCTAATGCCATTTAGATTATCAGCTAATTTGAAATACTTGTTACCTCTTCCTTGCCCCTGCCTAAAATTTGTATGTTTACTATTCTGTTGTTGGAAAGTAGTGGGTCAACAATTTTCCCATTTATTTTCTTCGTTAGATTGGAAAGTATTGGAATTATGACAAAATATCTTTGGCTTTGTCATACTTATCTGGAAAGAGAAATGATATTTTTATTAGGAATAATATTTTATAATATTTTATTAGGAATAATATTTTATTAGGAGTAATATTTATATTTTTTAGGGCCAGTTTTTATTTGGAATTTGGTTGGAAAAATGTAAAGATTTCTTTAATTTGATTTAAAAAAAATTGTATAGTTGACATACACTATTATATTAGTTTCAGGTATATAACATAGTGGTTCAATGTTTATATACATAATGAAGGGTGCCTGGGTGGCTCAGTTGGTTAAGTGTCCAACTTCAGCTCAGATCATGATCTCATGGTTCGTGGGTTCCAGCCCGTGTCGGGCCCTATGCTGACAGCTCAGAGCCTGGAGCCTGCTTTGCATTCCGTATCTCCCTCACTGCCCCTACTCTACTTGTGCTCTGTCTCTCTCAAAAATAAATAAACATTAAAAAAATTGAAAAAACTATATATATATACATAATGAAATGGTTGTCACCTGTCGCCATACTAAGTTAATACACTATTATTGACTATATTCCCAATGCTGTACTTTACATCCCTGTAACTTATTTATTTTATAACTGGGAGTTTGTACCTCTTTATCTCCTTCACCTATGTTGTCCATCACCTCATCCCTTCTTTCTTCTCAGGCTATCACCAGTTTTTTCTCTGTATTTATGAGTCTGTTTCTGTTTTTTTAGATTCCACATATAAGTGAAATCATACAGGATTTGTCTTTCCCTGTCAGACTTATTTCACTTAGGATAATACTGTCTGAGTCCATTCATGTTGTTGCCAGTGGCAGGATTTCATTTTTTTTATGGCTGAGTAATATTCCACATTATATATCTAGATATATCTATACCGTATCTTCTTTATCCATTTATCAGTTCATGGACACTTAGGGTTGCTTCCATAATTTGGCTATTGTAAATACTGCAGCGAACATAGGGGCACATCTGTCTTTTCAAATTAGTGTTTTTGTTTTCTTTGGATAAATGCTCAGAAGGGGGTGTGGGGGCAAATACTCAGAAGCGGACTGCTGAATTGTATGTTATTTCTATTTTTAATTTTTTGAGGAACCTCTATACTGTTTTCCATTGTGGCTGCATCAGTTTACCTTCCCACCAACAATGCACAAGGATTCCCTTTTTTCCACATCCTTGCCAACACTTATTTTGAAAAAATGAAGATTTTGAAAGACTTCTTTTTTCTTGTGGTTTCTTACCCTCTTCAATTTCTGGATTACAGTTACCGACGTAGAGCTGAAACGACTGAAAGATGCCTTCAAGAGAACCTGTGGACTCTCATACTATATGGGCCAACACTGCTTCATCAGGGAGGTGCTTGGGGATGGAGTGCCTCCAAAAGTTGCTGAGGTAATCTTTATATTGTAGGTTTTCCTTTGAGATAGTTACCCACCAGCCTGACTTCCTGAGGAGCCTTCTGGCCTTGACATGTATAATCTTCCTCACAGTTATTTTTCTTGCCATGTAGGTAAACAGGTATTTTATTTTATTTTTATTTTATTTTATTTTATTTTATTTTATTTTATTTTATTTTATTTTATATTTTATATTTTATTTTTTTTATATTTCATTTCATTATTTCATTTTTTATTATTTAAATTCAAGTTAGTTAACATACAGTGTAGTCTTGGTTTTGGGAGTGGAACCCAATGATTCATCTCTTACATATGACACCCAGTACTCATTCCTAAAAGTCCCATCCTTAATGACCATCACTCCTTTAACCCATCCCCCCACACACCTCCCCTCCAGCAACACTCAGTTCTCTGTATTTAAGAGTCTCTCAAAGGTTTACCTCCCTTTATCTTAAAGCAAGTCTTATTTTAGATGTCAGTATGATTGTGTTTTTAGAGGCCATAGGGGCGTAACACAGATCTGCAGTTGTACTTTTATATTTTTGAGTTTTAATAGCCACTGATTATAATCATGGGACCATTTGTGTGACTGGCTTCTTATTCTTATAAACTTTGTTACTCTGACATAAATTTTATGTTGGGAATATGTTTTATAAATTTTGTGTTAAAGAAAACCTTTCCATTTTAGTAAAACCTAATTAAATTAATTGTATAAAATTAAGTGTTGGGGCACCTGGGTGGCTCAGTTGGTTGAGCGTCCAAATTCGGCTCAGGTCATTATCTCACAGTCTGTGGGTTCGAGCCCCGTGTTGGGCTCTGTGCTCAGAGCCTGGAGCCTGCTTCAGATTCTGTGTCTCTCTCTCCTTCTGCCCCTCTCCCACTTGTGCTTTGTCTCTCTCTCTCAAAAGTAAGTAAACATTAGGAAAAAAAAAATTAAAATTGAGTGTTGAAATGCTAGCTCACTGGAACCTGTAAAGGCTTATTTAATTTCTACCAAAAATTTTACGTAGAGGTAAAATGTGCTAAGTTGATATAAATATACTCTTTCTAAAAATAGTTAATTATTTTATAGCTACAGACACAGATATGCACTATGTTATTCTGAATATGAAATGACAATAAAACACTGAAACTGTTAATAAAACACTGAAAATTATAGTTATTTTAGGCTTGGTATATTATAAAGAACCCTAATTCACCATTCTTAATTAATGACAGTTTCTGTTTCTAACCTGTGTTGTGTGCTTTTGAACCTGAGGTTTACATAATATAGGGTTTGCATTTTTAATTTTTATCTTTTTTTGGATCAGGATATATGTTGCATTAATTCTCTTAAATGTATTCTTGTGTAAAATTATGTATTCTGCCATTGTTTCAGAATTATGATAGAGTTAAGTTTTTTCTTAATACTACTTATTGAGCTTTCTGTTTCAGCATGAGTATTAACCATTTTAACAATATTTAAATCTTTTGACTTATGAAATTAGGAAGTTTTTACATTTGGTTTTTAATTTTTTTCATGTTTTGTAGTTTTCATTGCAGAAATCAGATGTCTGTCAACTGAACAAAATGTTGTAAATCCATACAGTGAAATATTATTTGTTAATAAAAAGGAATGAAGTTTTCTGATATGTGCATGGATGAACCCATAAAACATGCTAAGTCAGGGAAGCCAAACACAAAGACACAATTTTTTAAATTCCATTTGTATGAAATGGTGGGAATAGCCAACTCTATGGAAACAGAAAACAGATCAGTTAAAATTTTAGCTGATTTTTTTTCTTACTCTCTTTTAATAGCACCTGCATCTTCCTCCCATGTTCTGCTATTGGACAGGCAATTCATGCATCCTATGTTTTGGAGGAATCTGTCCTTCCTGGGATGTCAGGCTACTTGGTTGTTCAAGAAATGTTGTATGATAGTTTATCTGGCTTTTTCTGTTTTTTAGGTTAGGAGTAACTCTCTTTCAGACTTTGTACATATAAGGTGGAAGTGGAACTCCTTGCAACATCATTTTTATGTAAATATTCCATAAATTTCATTCCACCCAAAACTATTTCAGGGATCTTGCCCCTGTCCTTTGGACTCTGTTGAGAGTCATCACTGGCTAGAATAATTAAGGTAGTTATTTTACAAGAATGATCTTAATTTTAAATTGTAAACAATTTGTAAACAATGATAGTGTCAGGTTTCAGTTTCATTTTAGTTAATGCCTTTTGGTGTAAACTCTAGCACTGTATTAAACACATATAAATTCTATAAATGCTTTTAGTGATGATGTTAGCTTTTTTTGCCCTAGTTTACTGACATAGGCTTATTTTAAGTGAGGACAGGTACTATTAGCATGTGTATATTGATTAGTATGTATAGTATATTGTGTATGTTGTAAAGTATGATAAGAAACTAAGTACTTTATCTTTAATTAGTCTCTGGTATTTTCTCAGAAAATGAAGTCTTTATAATAGTTTCTCACACTGTAATCTCAAAAGGATGAGTGAACCCCAAAAGCTCAGAAAGAACTTAAAAAAGCTGAGTTCTGGAATAGTTTTAACATTTATATAAAATGAGCTTATGTTTTATTTTAGCCATCTCTCTGAGATAGGTGTGTTAGTAGATAGATTTCATCAGCTTTTGTGTGTTTGGGAAAGGGAGAGAATTTTATTAGTATAATTCATATTTGCAGAGTAATTTATTGAAGGAGAAATGGCACATTTTAAATAAAATGGATGTGAATTTCCCATTCAAAATTCAAGTTTTGAAGTTTGGATTTAGTCTTAGTAGGTAGACTCAGAATGGAGGATCTGTATTCTATAGCTGCAGAGAAATAAGTTAAATGATAGGATTTATAAATGAAGTGATGTCCTTTGTGAGATCTTTCTTACAATCCTATGGAGAAGTTTGGCCTTAAATTTGGGTGAAGAGGGTACTCTTGGTGAGATTCTGAAGTTAATGTTTTGAGGCACAACAGCATTATTTTAATGTCAGTATCTCTATAAGAAAAGCCCCAGGAACCATTTAAGCTGCTAATTGTGGGTGGGGAGAGAAGTTCATTTCCTAGTTAGTGTTTTTCTTTAAAGGAAATGTAATAACATATTTTTTAAGAGCAAGGGGAGGTTTTTTTTTCTCTTTCTTTTTAATTTTTTTTTGAGAGAGAGTGAGCTTGTGTGTGCGACAAGGGAGAGGCAGAGGGAGAGGGAGAGACTGTTAAGCAGGCTCCACACCTACGGTAGAGTCGGGAGCATGCAATACAGCTTGATCTCATGACCCTGAGATCATGACCTAAGCTGAAATCAAGAGTCAATCAAGAGTCAAAGCTTAACTGATTAAGCCACCTAGGCACCCCAAGGAGATATTTTTAGAATCTTAGTGCAAAAGGATGTTAAACTTAAAAAGACAATAACTTTAGTCCTTAATATGTTAATTAAGGAGCCAAGGTAAGTTTCTAAATTATTTTCTAGAAGAGAAGCTATATATTTTTAGAGCAAAAGAGATTTATTTAGAACTGAATTCCCATTTTTTTTTTTTACCTTCTCTGAAGACTTGGTATGATAAATTTCAAGACATTTTGGATTAAGAGTAAGAACTCATGACAGTTTACAGTTTTTAGAATTTAAGCTTTGATTTCATTAGTCTCTTGTTTCTAGGATAGATTAGTGTAATTAAATATCTTGATGCAATTCTGACCTTGCTAATAGTAGTAACCACATATTATTTGAATAGAATATTAAATGAATAAAATTTGAGGGGATTGAGAAAACAAAGTAAAAATGAAGTACATGGTAAGTAAATGAAAGATGTATAATACTTGAATTTGGCCTTTTTGGAAGCAAAGTCACTAGTTCTTAGTAAACCAGTGCATATATTTTCTTTAGGGAATCACCCATCCCCAACTGCTATTCTCCCAAAGAAATTCTAATAACAAAATATTTCCATGTAGTATTAATTTGTAATCATTTCCTATTGTTTTCACATTCACTTAAAAGTAGTTCTCACCATTTTAATGAATTTAAAGTGTTTCCAGTTAAAAGAAATCATTAATGAGTAGCTCGTTAATGAGTACCTACTCATTAATGATTTCTTTTAACTAGAAACTCTTAAATTTCTATTTTAGGGTTGATTTCAACTCTGGATGACTGGATAGTATAGTAATACCATTCCACCTTTCTCCTTATAGCTCCCTTCGACAGTTTTAGCCTACATTGTTTTACTCTGATTCCTTATAGGTATTAAAGCCTGCCTGTATCTACTATGTAGCACAACATTTTATGAAATAATGGCTTGTTCGCTAATTATTCACTTAAATCTTGTCTCTCAACTAAGTTATGATTCTTGATGGGCAGACTTTATGGCTTTTAAAAAATATGTCCCAGAGTGCTGTGCATAGTGTAAACTTAATGAGTATTTGATTTGTTAATGATTTTTAAAAAATATTTATGTTATTCTGCAAAATCTTATTACAACAATGACTAGGAAACCAATATTTGTGAAGTCAGCTTTGCTAACTTTTGCAGTCTTTGAACATTTAACCTTTTCCAGATTAGAGGAAAATACACATTTTAAGTGAAAGCAATCTTAGAGCCTGGTGTATTTTCAGACACAGTGGTCAACATGTGAAAACAGTTGATCAGTAGGATATTTTTCCATTAGAGGTGGTAGGTTTATACTGAAGTATTCATATTGGGACTAGGGACATGTATTTACTAGATAGTCTAGGTTTAGGGGGACTGACCACAGAATTATGATTAGTGTTTTCTTGTTTTGATATTAGTTGATCTGTATTTTTATTATATCCCTTTATGTTGGATTTTCTTAAATGATGAAAACAACTTCCTTGACAACTCAAAGTTATTGTCAGCATTTGATGCTACTCATCATTGACTGTTGTAATATACTGACATAACTAATGTATTTATATCCACCAGAGAAGAATAGCTAATGTTTTCATTTGTTATGGTAAATTCTGATCTTGACATTATAGCTGACAGGAGAACACTA